TCATATTCATGTTCAAGTGCACGCGCGCGTGTTTGTGTGTCGACCGATCGCTGGCAGGCCCGCTGACGTGCCGTGGAGGCAGGCGGGACCCGGGCTCGAGGCAGCAGGGGTCTGAACTCCATGTCTGAGCTCGGCTGTTGGTGCTTCGACCCAGACTGTGCTAGTAGCGCACCGCCTCACTGGTTTGTGGTGAGCCGTTGCGGGCTCCTGCTGTAGAGCGGGCTCGGGTTTGGTTGGTGACGTGGACATCGGTAGCGGGTGATACTCCGAGAGATACAGGCTGGCAGCTGCAGTGTTCCGCGTAGCCTGAGCCACCTTGTGGTTCATTCGCATTTCGTGTCCATGCAGCGTCGTATATAACAACGCGCACAAAGGTATGGTGGTGGCGGGTTTGCACAGTAATTTGCGTAGTTCAATTATCCTGCATTATTATTCAAACCAGCGGCGCCCGCCGCATGCTTGTTGCCTGCGGCGTGTGGCCCTGACCTACCACGTGCACGGCGCCTACAGGAGCGAGCCAGCCGAACGCGTCATCCCCCGCTCAATCGCCGTCCTTGGCAGCTTCGCTCGGGCTGTGGCCTGCCCCGAGCGACCGGCACACTCACCCCCGGTCAGCCACGCTCGGTGCGCCGGCGGGGGCCGCGGCCGGATGGCGGCTCCGCTTGTCGAGGCGTCATTAGCGCGTCATTACGGAGGGCGGCCGGGCGCCGGCCGCGGCGCCGACTGCCCTGTAATCAGCAACGTCTCACTCGACCCTGAAGGCCGGAGCCGTTTTGACGGCCGTTAACCCGCCGACCGGGCTGCCGGCTGCCGAACGGACAGCGGGACGGCGGGCTGCGGCGCGGCCTGGCGAACGAAAACACGGTGTTGAGGAGGTCGGGACATGTCTGTCGCGCAGTGGCCGCCGGACGGGCTGCCGGGAATGGGGCACGCGGTCACCTACAGAACGGGCTGTTGAAGACACGCGCTTCTGGTTGGCAAGCCGGGAACAGACCGCTAAATGCTGGCCTGGACCAGACATCCGGACAACTGACCGCAAAACCGCCTGTCGGGGCGGCACATTTCCTGCCCGGCTGGCTGTGCTGGCGTTGAGACCTTGGTGTCGCTGCCCCGCATGTGACCCGGCGCGTGCGCTCGCCGTGGCCGATACCCGGACCGTTACGCCGGCAACCGATCCGGCTCGGGTTCTGCGGCGCTGAGCGGCCGGCGTTCATGGCCCGGCTGCGGTCAGCCTCCGAGCTTGTCCCCTGGTCGGACCGACCCTGGCGATATACCCGCATTTGCTGGAGTCGTGTAGGATCTGTGCTCTGTGTGACGGGTAGGCGGATACGAGCTCCGCGGCTCACTGCCTCGCCCAACGCCTGGTATTCACTCCGCTTCGTCCGCGAGAACCGTGTTGGCTGTCTGTGTACATTACATCCATTACGAACGCCTATAACCGTCACTAACGCGAGGAAAACGGCGCCGTCCCGATATAATTCAGCTCGTGGCGCGATGATAATCATCACCCTCCGCCCCAACCGGCACGCTGTTGATTGCTGGGGCTGGCACGAAGCGGAATGTCCAGCGTGCTGCTCTTGCTGCTTCATCGGGACTCATGAGGACTTCCTGGGGCGCTGACCTCTTCATCCGGATCGAAACATGATCGGCGCCCAGAGCGGTGGCAATGCATGCAAAGCTAGCAGCGTTTCATGGGGATCATTAGTGGCAACATTAGCGGCCATGTCGTTGGCTACCGGCTGGAATGTTGGTCGGGTTTGGCGGCCTGGTGGGTGTGAGCGTGTGACGCCGTCTCGGTCTGCTTAACGCGAGCGGAGCACTGCGCGATGTGACAGGCTGTGGCGCTCCCCCGGGGGCGCGAGACGGGCGTGGAAACAGGCGGCGCCTGTTGTCCCGTCCGTCCCGCACGCGCAGTGCATTGGCTGATGTGCCAGCTCCCTTAACGGCAAGAGTGGGAACAGCCTCCGCGCGGCGGCGGCTCTGATTTGCGGTAGCTCGCCGTCGTGGCGGAATGACGACACAGGCTGCCCAGCAACCGTCATCAGCCCGCGAAACCTTAAATGGCCATCTAACCATCCTTGATACATCCCCAAGGGCTTTCCTCCACTGAATGGCTAGTGCGTCGGTCGTAAAAGCCCATGCAGGCTCGCCGTTACCAAGCCATTCGCACCGATACGCCAACGGAGGTGGTCGATACCGACACTAACACGCGCCAGCGCCACCTGGTCCCATTGAGATTCGCACCGGGCACGGTCGTAGTTGCCCTGAGCTTGCCAGCAGCGGGCCGGCGCTCCCCGGAGCTTGCCAGCAGCGTGCCGGCGCTCCCGGAGCTTGCCAGCAGGTGCCGGCGCTCCCCGGAGCTTGCCAGCAGCGTGCCGGCACTCCCCGCGGCAGGCCCGAGAGAGACGCACGCCTGCCGGGCGCTATCTCACCCCCGCGGGACGCCAGCACCGGACGAACTAGCGCCGACCAGCGCCGCTTTCACCGATCCCTCCCCAACCCGGCGTCGCGACGGGCGAACAGTGAACAGTGGACGATGCCTGCGCGCCGCACGCGCTGCGTGAGGCAGGACGGCTCAGCTCGACGCACCTCGTAACGCACTTGGCATGTAACGCACGGGCTAGTGTGCATTGCAGGCGGGCCGCTGTCCGGCGGTCTGTGCGGACGCGCGTGTTGTGCAGTGTCAGCGGCCCTGCCACCTGCGTCAATGTTTGTCCGGCCCCGTCGCGTGCTCTGGCGGTCGCGGCCATTAGCGAGCTGCGCGCAGAGCTGGTGACGTCTCTGACCATTAGCGGTTGGGCGGCTGCGTCTGTCCGTTGTTTGGGCCGCGCCGCCAGACGATTTTTTCCGTCACGGCTGCGTGACCTTCAGGGTCGCCGGCGGAGCCGCTGGCCAGAAGGCCCCCGGCCGCTGTCGTCCTGCCGCGGTGCTGGCTGTCGGCACTGGGCGACTGCAGGCGTATATACTGCTGGGCTCATCGTATAAACACAAACAGAAGGTCCTAGAGTTGCAGCCGGGCGCGGTGGCAGTGCTCAGCTCTCACGTGTACCACGTGCACAGATTGCCGGGACTGGGAACGGACCCTCGCTCCCCGCGTCGCTCCATGGGAACAGAAGCTCTGCAGGGCTTCGGCTGGGGGTCAGCTCACCTATGCTATTGATTACTGTCTGAAATTGGCCGGTCGTATCTGGTTTCACATGTGACACTATAATTTTCACGCTTGACAATATGCATTTCGCGCTTGGCACGCACTATTCTTTGTGAAATTGAGAGAACGTTTCACCGTGCGGCAGCCCCCAGCCAGCATCAAGTCGCCGCCTCCATGCACATGTGCTAACCGCTGATGAGGAACGAGTGCAACCCTCAGACTCCGGCTTGTTTGTCTTAGCGAGAGCCTGTAAGCCAGTATGGCAGCGTGGTGTAACAGAACATATCGGCTCGAGCGAGTGCGGACAGCGGCCGACATGTACACACCATGCCTGGCATTGGTGCTTGCCCGAGCTGTACCACACATCATCTCCACGGGCTGAAAGTTGACTGGGCATCGATTCTATGGGCGTCACGCTGCTAGACCATCTGCGGATATCTGTGCAACATCATACGCGGAATAGGAACTTTACGAAATTGGGACCTGCCCCTCCCCCTCGCCTCGTTTCGCCCTCTGTCGGAGCCGATGAGCAAATGCCGGCACCGCATTCGGTCCGCATCTACCGGCCCGTGGTCGGCACTCGCGGTCGGCTCGCGGTCGGTGGTCGGTCACCGCGCCTGCGCGGCGGAGATGGCAGAGCCGGCGTCAGACACATGGTCTGGTCGTGAGCCCCGCACTCGCGGCGGTGGAACCGTGAGCGAGCTCGTGAGCTGGCCGGTGCGCCTGCCGACGCGGCTCGCCGGTTGAGAGCGTCCGCTGTCCGTCGCCAGCTGAGCGGCTTGGCCTTCCGACCATGTGCCAGTCGGTCGCGCCAGTTAGTCGACTTCGACCTCCGGTGGATTCGGGGTGTGTGAGTTCGCTCTGTCGTTGGGCAGAGCGTCGGCGGATCGGTGCTGACAGTCGGCGGACTCTATCGAGGAGTCGGGTCTGCTGCTGGCTCGACTCAGTCGAGCGGCCGGCCAGAAGGCTGACTCTTTCAACACGTTGACTCTGCCAGTGAATTATGAGTGGACTCTGAGTATATGGACTATGCCATTGGGTGAGCCATGTCTTCAGCGGACAGTGGTGTGGGACAGTGGCTAGTGGGTCAGCCACGCCCCATTGAACAAGTCTCCAGTGGACAGTGGTCAGTGTGTCAGCCATGCCCCCAGTGGACATGCCCAGTGGGCTATCTTCGGTGGACAGTGGCTAGTGGGTCAGCCACGCCCCCAGCGGTCTCTGTCAGTGGGCTGACACTGTCGATGGGTCTGCAGCCGGCCCCGTCAGCCAGTGGCGTCTCCCAGCGGGCCGGCGGGCGGGCGGCCGGTGGGTTGACTTGTCAGTGGGTCGGCCGTCGTCGGCGGGCCGGCCGCTACTCTGACGGACCGTTTATTGGTGCCGCCTGTCGACGATGGCCGCTGCAGACGCCGCTGAGCCGGGCCCGGCGCTCTGTTTTGACACGGCTAAGAGCCACGCGACGCCGGCTTATTGGCACTCGGCGCGACCGGCGTGCGACGCGCTGTCGTTTGGGACCACCATCCACGTCATCGTCATTCTGGTCCGTCGCCGACGCCACGTCATCCAGACCATCGCGGACGTCACGTCATCTCGAACCCCAGGGCCTTCAGCGACGCCACGTCATCCCGGACCTTTGCCAACATCACGTCATCCTCGACCTTCGTGGGCGGCACGCTACCATGGAGC